AATCGGCAAAAGCACATGTGGCACAAATGGTTGAGAAAGGAGACAACTCAATCTCACATAGATTGCTCGAAGATTCGATTCCGATGATCTATCGGGATTCATCCACCTCTGGCAGATGGTGTCTGAAGGGGAGAAATGGCACGGGAATGTTTGTATAAGGAGGCGTTTTTTTTTGCAATTGTGACAGTTGTTTCACTCAGGCTGGGTTGATGGGGAATTCGTGCGACTGTATTATTTGTATTCTCTCTCCCGCAGCCTGTGCCTTCGGACCTTCATGACTCCGAAGTTGTGTTTCCACAACTCAAGCAGAGATTGTACAACGCCAAACACCTAAATTTCAAGAGCGCAACCACGTTCTCCAACAAGGCTGACTGGCCGATGTTGGTACTTCCACTTCTTCTTCCATTCACTTCCCGAGGTACTCTCGTTGCACTCACTGATTCGTTTTCATTTCAGCTCGCAATTTGAAGGTTGAGTTGTTTAGATATTGTATGTCGATCGTTTTGTGCTAATGAAGTTTTTATCATACTCGTGCCGCTCGTCACTCCTAGAAAGCACCAATCCAGTCAACACTTAATCCACGCCATTGCACTGCCCAGATACTTTACATCTTATTGCACTTACACTCTTATATAGGCTCTTTCGTGCAGCTATCTCGTCTTGCGAGGTGTGCAACCAACTAGGACTGCCCATCAGCCATCGTAAACTTTTTTCACTGGTCCGTTACCTTTACCCAACAAGCCGCCATCAAATGTGGAATGCGAGACTTGATATAAGGGGCCTACGGATTTTCATGAGCCTTCCGACCCTCGCTTGCCCTCCATAATGCACAAAGGTAATCCGTATGCCAGGCTTGCCCCGTACCCTTCGGGAGCGTATATCAAGACTATTATCCGAGAAGAAAAATGCATCGATGATAATACAGCCACCCTCCCCCCTCCTGGGTGGTCTTGAAAACAGCGCTACTACTCAGCGAAGTACATGAGCGCTGCAGAAGCAAGCAAGTCTTATCCTTGTAGCCGCTCTACTACCAAAGTGCTACGTTTCGACATTCAATCGTGCACTTTGTTTCACTTCAACTTCCTACTGTTTTAGTTGTGGGAAAAATACGGTAAACCGCCACAGGAACAGGTGAAATGATAGATCATCCTAGTCAAAAGACGTTACTCGCGCGCTTTGCATTTATAAGGTGCCCATGCCGGCAAGCTTGACTCTAACTCTTACTCTCTACATTTGTATGGGAGGCATACAAAACCCACCCTTATTGTTCAGAACTCAACTCAGCACAGAACTCACTTAACTGAGTGATTGAGCTTTATAAAGTGGTGAACAAACATTTTGTAAAAGTTCAATATCGAAGTAATTGGTCTATGGAAGTTCGTAGGAACACATCGTTAGTAACGGCTTTCACTGTAAGTATAACTAGACGACCAACCAATTAGATTTCATTGAAAAAAGTCAGTGAGTTGTGGAGTAGATATTATATCTCTAAAACAAGCGAGGAGTAGACCATTGCAGCCCTCAGGCTCTACTAGTCATTTCTCTGATGGGTCATTTTTTTCTAATGAGTAAATTCATCGTATGCCAATTTCAAGGTAATTTTCCAAAATGATTTGGACATTCCCGGATATTTAGAAGAAAAATGAGGAAATTGATGAATGTGCACTCTTCCTACATACAACTGTTTCCAACGAACCAGATCACCTCGCAGAACAACATGTTTGGTTTTTACCAAAGTTCTGTCGTCCTTCGAATTTTTTTTGATGAATTCATGGAGGTCATACTTCTAGTTCAAATTTGTAGCCGTCTTCCCACAAAAGCTGCNTCTTTGTTCTTGACCTGCCCTGCATAGGCATCTAGCAATTTTCAAAATTCAGTGTAGTTGAAGAATCCTTGAAAATATTGAACACGGACATCTAAGACATTTTGAAAAAGGAGGTTGAGCGATTAGGATGGAAAATTAGTGCTGAAGGTATTAATTCCAAGTGAAGTTTGAAAAGTGATTTTCATAACATCGAGTAGCTTCTTTAGAAAGGATGTAACGATGTAGTTCTTCAGATGTTTACTCCATATAAATATGAGATTTAATTTCTGCGCTTTGAGGCGATATCGTAAGCCATTAGTGAAGGCCGAAAATCTCGTCAAAGAATTTGTCAATTATTATATTACTCCCAGATAGTTTTCACTATTAACAACTAATATCCACGGAGAGTTTAATATGAAGCCCTGATTGGAATGTGTTAACTCTTTTCCTCAGTAGCAAATGCTGCATACCGGGACTTAGACTACGGGTTAACTCATATATGCTATTTTCGGTTTAGAAACCTTTGCCATTTGACTTGAAAATGGCACACGATTAATTTACTCATTTAAAGAAAGATATATCATAGAAATGACCAGTAGAGCCTGAGAATGCAATGATCTTTTATACTCCTCGCTTGTTCTAGGGAAATAATGGCTAATCCACAACCACTGACTTCTTTAATGGAAGCGAATGTCGTTCGGTCATACTTGTAGTGATTGTCGTTGTTAATGATGTACCCCTACGAACTTTCATAGACCGAGGACTTCGAGATTGAACTTTTTCAAAATTTCGTTTCACCACTTTACAGAGTTCAATCAATCAGTTAAACTTTATCGTGAATATTGAACAATAAGTGTGGATATTGAATGCCTTCCATAAGAATGTAGAGAGTAGAAGCAAGTCAGAGTCAAGCTTGCCTGCTAAGCACCGTATAAATGCAATGCGAACGGGGTGATGTTCCCTAATTAGGAAGATCAATGACGTTGCACCTATTCCTGTGGCGGTTAACCGTACTTTTCTCACAACCCAAAATAGCAGGAAGTTGAAGGGCAACAAAGAGTACGGTAGAAATGTCGAAACGGAGCACTTTGGAAGTGCGAGCGACTACAAGGACAACCTAACAAATCTTCGACGCGCTTACCCTTTCGTCCTGCACTGTAATCTTCTATTACTGGATTAAAGGATTATTGTGATGCACTTTGTAGGACTCAAGAAGGCCAAATTCTCTAAGTGATTTTTTAATACCTAATTGAGAGGAACAACGATCGATATTAGAAAACGTACAGAGTGGGCATGATAACCAATGGCGCTCGTGCCGTTCTTGGAAGTTGTCTCTCTCCCAAGTCATAGTGGCATTCAACGAGAAACCGATCTATAATATTGTAGTCATAAGTATTCGTTACAAGAAGATCGTTACTCGAACGACAAGTGGGTAGTCCAAGTAAACCATGCACGATGGCGTCAGTGGGTGGATGCTGATCAACGGCTGTTGCCGGTTCCAGAAGGTGAGCTCCATCTGAACAAGGTCATGCTCTGCGTTTCGTGCATGGTAGGAGGCCTGCATCATTACGACCTTCTGGGTGACAGTACCACGGTTGATGCGCACACCTATTGTTTGCAGCTGCATAGAGCACTCGGTAAACGCAGCATGTTTTGGGAGTTTTTTTCTGCCAACATGCCGCAAAGGAGATCCAGACGGGATTTCTTGAAATTTTCCACCTCGGCTTCGTATTTCTTCCTCATCCACCGTATTCTCCCGATCTCGCTTCAATTGAACACCACTAGTTTCGCTCGCTTGCTCAATTCTTCGAGAATGGGAGCCACTATTAGCCGGGAGTATATCGAAATCAATCTTCAGAGATTTGCATCTTCAGCCACTCAACACGTCGAAGACAGCAGGGACCTGGCGAATAGTATCCTTTCGCACAGCTCTTGTAAAGAATGGTGAATATTGCTCTTGGCAATGTTGGCTGTGAAGAAAGTTGTGTACTTTTGAACATCGGTATCGGAACCGGACGTTACTCGTCACCCAAATAATTGCATGAGACATTATCGAAGGCCTTTGCAAATGATGTTTTCCATGCAAAGCTGGTATCATCATCAGTTATTTCTCTCTAAATAGTGATTTATCATCAGTAACCCTACCAGGGCACATTAAAGGCACAGTTTACGATAAAGATGGTATTTAGGGTTTTTTCATGGCATGAACTCAAAGCCTCGCCTTATACCATAACTGCCGCTATAAAGTCGAAAAACGTCCTGAATAGGGCACAATAGGAGATGGTATCGTGTGAATGCCACTGCCGTAGTGGACGAGTTTCAGTGGCAGAGCACTATCCTAAGGCACTCCCATGTAGGAAGTCCCAACAATGTGCCATAATCTACGGCGACAGTGAAAGTCAGTTTCGGACATTTTCTGCTTGATGTAGTTAGTTTTGCGAAGTTGAAGCATGTGAAATCTCGTCCAAACAGCACTTACATGCTATTCCCGGCAGGTTGATCTCGTACAACCCCTATTTCCACCGCTTTAAAAAGGCCTAGTTTTTTGCGAAGAAGGCGGATTTTCTCGCTTTCTTCGCCACAGATGTACTGCTCTACATCAACGCTCCCACTTTTCAACTTAAAAGGGTACCTCAAAATTATCGTGAACTGTGTTTTTAAAAGAAATATATAGCTCACAAAGGGACACCATGCCGTCAACGATCCTCACAAACTATTAATTTAATTGATTGAATTATTAATTTGAGGAGCTCGTTGACGACATGGTGTGCTTAACTTATTTCAGTGCTCCCTATGATTTCTGCAAATCCTTGCTGCGAATGCGAATGTTTATTTACAAACCTTATCACGAATCATATCAATATCAACTTATTAATAGACGGGGAAAGTAAGTACACAAAGAATGTAAGGAGTTTTCTATTAAAATATGCAAAATAACCAGTAATAGAAGGTAGTTGGTGAAATAGGTTCTAGAATAGAGCTCTTATTGAGAGTATATTACAACCAGTTTCCTAGATGTCATCGCAAACAACATCAGCCTTCATAATGAAGCCAGAAGCTCTATGAGTAGATTGGGCAGCAACTTCAAAAACACTATATACGCAGCTCACGATCAGACGTGGCTGTCAGAGAAAGGCAACAACGGGATAGCCTGGTATCTCCTATTCTTCCAAAAAAAAACTAATATCGGTAGACATTAGGCCTTAGCGGAAGATCGAGCAATCAGCTGATGCTTGGCTTTAGCGTGAATCTTGTCCATCCTTTTACGGTGATGGTAGTAGATAGGCATAAGTAGATACTTCAGAATCGTCCATGGGAATAGGTGATACACCAGCATCTAAAAAAGTTACACTTAAGAGAATGGCCAACACATTTTTTCAACGATTTTTGATCTAACTACTTTTAGATAGCCATGGATTTCATAGACTTCTGCACACCCATATTTGACTCATAACATATTCGATAACTCTCCATGTGAAATGGGAAGAGCACGTGTAACCTCTCAGAAACTAATAGGCCTACATATGACCAAGGCGTCAACATGTTGCTTCAGCCCTTTCAGGTTTTGGACCTAACTCTAATAAAAATGGACTTGGTTGTGATCGAATATCACCAAGTCCATTGCTATTACAAAAAACAAGCCCAGTCGTCAAGGCTCCATCTCTAGGAAACTGATAGGGTGGACAACATTTTGGAAACAAAGATACAGGCAAGATTGACCTGACCATCTTCTGCTCGAGGGCAAATATACTGTGAAGGGGAAGCAATACCTCAACTGTAGGTCTCGACTGGTATTTTCAAAAAAAAGCGGAAATCGCCAAAATCGATTTTCGTGCATTACGGTGCAAACATTATGGTGTTTTTCATGAAGATCTACGTAGAAACGAGTTTTACTAGGCTCTATCTCTATCAGCCATCGTCAAATCGGCTATTTTTAGAATTTTAATCAATAAAAAATCTTACAACTGACAATTTGTGCTCCAACAGTCTTTATAATGTTTTCGAATTACTTACTTGTATCTCATGGTTGAAGCATCCGCTCGTTTTTTTCGTTAGTCCAATAGTATTGACAGCTTCTTTGACAAAGTTCTCCGGTGTAACCACAAACGTTGAACCTTTCTGAAAGTAATTACGTAAAGGTCTATCACCCGGCTGTTCCCATGTAGTAGCTGATATAACATGTGGGAACAGTGTAGTCTTCTTAAATCTCTCCGGCAAATCTCTGGAGATGAAACAGGGTCGACTAAGATGCGTATCTCAGAAAAGGAATCGTCTACCACGAACCGAACAACGTCTACTACGAACACCGATAAGAATCATCCCATGGGTGTTAGACATCCCATCAATCCATTCAAGGCGAGTTGTCACAAAATGATTGTCAACTCAGTAAAAAACATAAATACACCAGGCAAATGATACCCACCTCATAGTACACCATTTTCGTGGCCACCAATGCTGGAGTAAGGCATTGCACCGAAATCGTTCGATATTCCCGGTCGATAGCCTCGCTTAGGAACACTAGCACTGACTGAAATCCATAGTACATTATTTTCAAGTACCCTTCTCAATTTTTTATTATTTATTTCATGATATTTGATCACATATTAAAAGAAAACTGCTAAAAGTGAAGTCAGACCAGGTGATTGGTCCCCGCTGTGAGGCTTGGTTAGGGTATCGAAGAGGGATGATTGGTAACGTTGAAGAGACTAGTATTACATCTCTACCGAGCGGATAACCAACCCTCCCAATGGGAGAGCAGACAACATTAATAATTTGAGCGATACGAGTCAAAAAAGGAAAGTCAGTTAAAAAATGGTTGCTGCTAAGAAATCGAAGAGAACTCTGAAGAAGAAGACTCTAATCTGTGGTATTCCCTATTCCCAGTCAGTGAAATACACCCTGCTTTCTTCTGGTTCGAGAGCAAACCCCTGCAGTAGTTGCGTTTTGGAAATACATGCACACGAACATAATAATTGGAAAATGGAATTCAAAAAGGGCTCTCGAATGAGCAAACTTCAGATTTCATTTTGTCCGTGCCTAATTTTACCCTCAAATTACGTGGTTAAGCGGAGATGAACCCATTTGCTCACATTTACCTCTATACCGTTCCATGGTCTGATGCAAAGAAATGGAGATCCTGCACTGTTTCCTTTACTTGCATTGGATTCATTACGAAGGTAAGCACTTGGTTGCCCTTTGGGTGACGATCGATTTTTAACGTTACTCAAAACACTGTCCCAGAATCTCTTTAACGAATCTCGAAATTGGGACAGTGAAGCGCATCCTTGAAAAAAAAANAAAAAAAAACACGCTCAGCTGATCCCATTTCTTCGACTGCAACGGATACTAGACAGGTAACCGGTTTAGTAAACTCAGAGAACACATTGTACGAAATCTTTTCACGTGTTACTGTTCGTTACGTCCTATGTTAGAAAAAAGAATGTGGGTCGTCTAGTTCAAGGTTAGATTGAAAAGATACAGAAAAACAGCTAACACAGGATAAAAAACTTCTGACTTCAACCAATATCATTTTCAGGGTGGCCTCCGCAATCGACTCCCATACAGAATCGTAGTGGCATTTCGAATGAGTGTTTGGCCAATATAATGACTTGCGGTGGGTGTACAGATCAGCAATTTTGTCCTCCCGAAAGAGTCTAGCACCAATCAAGCTAACCGAGAGGGGAGGAAGGATTAGTGGTTCTGGGCGAGTATCGATCCAGGATCACGAACCACGTCTGTGTGCTCCGCTGTAGAGTAGTGGATTGGCACAGAACTTATACATCGAATTATAGGAATAGGTGCCAATGGACCAGTGTGATCTATTCACTTCCAGCAATTTCAGGGCTTATGAAGAGGGCCACAGTCAAGCGACTTTACTTATTGAGAATACAAAAAAAAATTTAAAAAGACGTATTGGAAAACTTTGCCTCTACGAAGAAAAATGTACTCCACGAATCATTCATTACCTTCGCAGAAGAGTATGCAGCTAGAAGTGGAATTGGCTTAATCCCTTGTGATGAAGAGAGTACGACGATTTGACCTCCACCACATCTTTCCATTGGCGGTAAAACCATCGAGAGGAACTGAAGCGAATGAGGTCAGTCAACGAAGAGGTCGTAGTAATTTATGAGGCGTACAACAATTATTTGTCGGCACCCAAATGGGCATCAGAACGAGAGCTTTTTTCGCTTACTTCGGCTGCTCCAAGGCCATTGACTCTGAGAATTTGTTGATCTGCTTCTGGGTTATCACCGTATCGCTCAAGATTTTCCCGTCCAACACCGACACTGTTCACTTAAAAGGCAATTATTAGGCTAGATAAGAGCCATTAGAGCGTTTCCTATAAATCTTACCGACAAATCCAATGTCAATTTCTGATAAATACTCTCGAAGTGGAGCAAAGTCATCTTTGCTGAAGTCAAAGAGGTACGTCTTGACACGGCATCCATATGTCAGCTCTGGAAAAAACGAATTTGCCTGTGGTAGCATATTTAACCCTCGATCACCCCAGAGGAAAAGAGGTGCCTTATAGCTTGAAGTTTTGATCCAAAGGATCTTGTTCAACTGGGGAATACCACACCAAATTCGTCGCTACAAATCTTCATATACATACAGGAAGCGCTTGCCCGCTTGCCTCGTTGATATTGACGCCAGGATCCCACTCAGCACTACAAGCTCAATCCCTCGGTGATTTTGGGACCTAATCCTTTTTTTCATGTTCAAGTGGGATTGCTTGTGTCAGGTAGGTATACGTACAGTATCTACAGTAATTTCCCTGAACTTCATTATAATGTGGTCTGTATATTTCAACTTTTTCCCTCTGAGCTCTGCTGGTAATGTAACAATGACCAAAAACCGCACTACAAGAAACACCCATACAGCCTGTGACTAGCATGGTTGCTCTTTCGGTGGGTGTTCTAATAGGGAGCACAAGGAAAGAACTGGGAAATGAAGGTCATTTCACTTGCTTAGTAACTGGGGAGTAGTCATTGCCTGTGAAAGCCTTCTACCCATCCAACTCCCTTATCATCTATTCGTCTTCAGATGTAATATTCTTTTCGGAACTTTTGAGTTTTCTCTCGGAACTTCCTGTTCAACAAAGGAGTTGAGCCATCTGCTGACCTTCAATGCTTCGCGAGAAGAATTCCCATGAATTGTTTTCGATACACGCATTAGATTTCCTATGAACGTTCCAATTCGATCACGTTTCTGTCAAGGGGAGAACTCCAACGAATAACAATGTCTACCCGAAGAAACGTCATCAATTTTGTTGAGGCAATCATCAGTCTCCCTCCCTTCCTCACTGGGTGAAAATGACTCATGAAACCATGAATAGAAGTAATGACCTCTTTGTGAAGAATTTCCAATACATCAAAACCTGTTCTCTTACCTAAAAACGTTTTAACATCGCTCAATTTAGTTGGATTTCGTCCAATAAGTACGAATTTCCTCAAGCCTCTCTTTGCCAGTTCTGTTACGTAGGCTTTTCCAATACCATCAGTTCCTCCAGTCACCACTGAAAAACAATCATTTTGAGAGTGTATTGAATCGGGCTGAGGGGTTTTATTCAATTCAAAAAGGAACAAAATGTTGTCGCTTTCCAGTGAGACCATGAAAACTGCAATTATTCCAAAACTAGTTGTTGGCTGTCAGCAATAGGGCGAAAGTTTTAGGCCAAAGTGGTGGCTTGCCCTCTGATTTTTCCATTTTTCAAGTTCATAGGTAGACGACTGGAAAGGCATACCTGTCCATCGATTCACGTATTGACTGAGGTTCGGCTTGTAGAAGAGTGGAGCAATCACATAGATGAAAATCGCTTTGGTCAATGCAATAATAGTTCTAAACCAGTTTTTCCGAGGACATATTTATTTATGGAAGGGATGGATTTAAGGCCATTAAAGCAATGAAGGCAGGAGAATTCCTTACCTGCAAAATCTGTATCCAATATAGACGAAAGGGATGACGGCTAGCATGAGTAGAGGTCGATGCAGACTGTCCATGAAAGGGGTGGAGTCTAAGGCTGCAGGAACTGGTGCCATCTGAAGTACAGTATGCAGATTAAATCGCGATAGAACGGAGACTGTTGCATAAGAGACGAGAGCGAAGATTAACAGGGAAAGCCGTTGGTGTTCTCTCATTGTAGATCTTAAATCGGTATCCGCTTATTGAGAAAATCCTCTGGAAAAAGGCGAAATAACGAGTGGACTATAACGACTGGCTATCTATTGGAAAGAACATTAGCCCAGACCAGAGGCCACAGATCCTTCATTGTAGGCTAAAGGCAGAAGCTTCCACTGAGGGGATAGAAAGCAGACCGTCTGACCTATCGCCTAAAGGGAACAGCTAGAATTTGTGGCTTCTGGACAGCTAAGATGGAAGATTCTAATGGAATAAGCCTAAACTCGTAAAAGATCGAAACTTGGCCAGTTAAACAACACAATATATGTATGAACAATGTGGGAGAAGTTTTGGGGAACCCTATGATTTTCCAAAGCTTTGGCCAATACGCCTTAAGATAACTGGGAACAGGAATGAAGCCTAATACCCATCGGAAGAACGATGTTTGCCGGACTGGTGCCCCAACCTTCTTTCAACATATTTATGTCTTTTAGTAGTAATATATCAGGTTTACTATTACACATAGTAATAGTAAGGTCACAAAGTTCATATTTGTCCTTTAGGCGATAAACTGGCCACTTCGCTCTCTGTTCTTTACGTTTATTTAGCGCCTCGACGTTGTGCCCTTTAGAAATGCCCTAAGTCATGGGTCTTTCAAGTTTTTTAAGTCATCAGTTTATCACGAGGCCGAAGAAAGTTGAAAATGAAACTGCTGACGTAACAGACCCGTAGCTGTTCAGCGGCCAACACCTCGGTGTTCCATTTTTCAAAGGAAATCTCCTAAGAGCAATCTATCCTGGTGAATTGCACTCCCCGGAATCTGTTTAGTACTAGCATTATCTCCTGTAGGCTGGAGGTTCCTAGATACCCTGCTAATCGTTACCCAAACGGGAACTTGGATAAACTTGCAGATCACTTTCTCGAGAGTTTACATTTGTTTTGGAGATGGCAGGGTCGTCGAACAATCGCCATTACAACGCACATTTACAAAGTCCCCTATGACTATGAACAGACTACCTCAACTTTCCTCCTCTAGACGTTAGGCTTGGATGCCAACATCGATCAAAACATCGATAATGTATCGATAAACTTCATTTTGTTGTGTTGCCGTTTACTTCTGCTTTGTTACCGGCGACCTTGCATTGTTAGCAATGATACGAGGTCTCGTTGAAAGGCGGTGATGGAACATCTCAGAGGGGGGTCATCTCAGATCAATGTCACCACCGTGCTGGCTGAAATTCCCTTCATGAGCTGATGGGAGAGAGGGGGGAGGGGGTGAAGGGGAAGCAGGGTTTGAAAAAAAAAACTTGGAACGATCTATGAATAGGTCATGGTACGAAAATTCGTATAGTAATCACAGCTATCTACGGTTCACGGCATAGCCAATAAGCCTATACGGCTTTGGACGGTTGATTATTAATTTATTTATTTACTTATTTATACACTCCACTGAGGGCGCCATAACTAGTAAATATGTGGAAATACGCATAAAAATCAGTGTTAAAAATTCTATAGAGTAAATGAGTTTTGATTTTTTAAAATCTAATATCAGCACGGGATTACAAGGGGTTGTGTAAAGCAATGAAGTTCAATAATTGAAAAAATGAGAGCTGATTCAGTTAAAAGAGAAAGAATGACAGCATGTGAACAGGACCAGTCCACATGTACCGGAGACTACAAGGGGGATCTCGCCTAACCTCATAACACTAGTACGCGCCTCTTTTGACCTTGCTCAAAGCAAAGTTTGCAGTAACACAGCTCACTCAGAGGCTGACTGCCCTGTCATGATCGCCACCTTTGGCGATGGTCAAGAATCTGAGTATTCCCACTTAATCCTAGGTCATGGTTCATGTATTGGTTTGTACCTACTCCACCTCTACATTATACAATGAAGGATTTATTGAGTTACTTGATCAAGCCGTCCTACATAAATCCACAAAGCTCTTCTCGGAGCTCAAGAAGCCCTTTATTCACGACTAATAACCAGAACTTATGTCTTGCCCATTCGTTTCGAACAACGTCCAGTAAACAGAATATTGAGGTCATCGGCGCAATGACTCTTCAACGTAAAGGACACTTTGACCATTCAAGATGTGAAACGACCTATGAAGATTGGGGATGTCGTGGCGATTATTTTGTTTGATATGTAGGGGTAGTGGTCTCCGTGCTCCTTTTGACGTCACTTCCTGATGGGGAACGATGGAATGGTAAATAAAGGCATCTGGTGTAAAAATTGTCGATATCAAAAACGAGTTCACAGTCTCACCGTGTCCAAATAATACAGCCTGGCTGTCCTTCAAAGTGGCTCTTCCCGAATAATTGACAGAGCCGATACATCAGTCCTTCACACCTAATAGGAATAGATCACGGCTCGGCTACCAGTCCCGAATGAGCCCCTAAGGGACGGCACTCTTTTGGGGGGCAGGCAGCTTTTACTTCCGAGCCTTCTATTGGATCTTTACCCAACTCAGACTTTAGATTCTGTTAGCTAGTTGTGATTAAGCGAGTGGCTTGATGTTGTAAGTGTTGAATCAGCTTTTCGGGATGCGCCATGCCTCATATTTTCGTTGCGAATCAAGAGAACTTCAATCTCATTGACATCCCAGGCCTTAGTCTTTTCCAAGTTTTTGTTATTCTGGACAGGAATGGTGTGGCTCGGCCAACTGCTGGAACATTTCAACGCTGTGGAGCAACGATTGACTTCTGTGGGAGCTTTGCGAGGGTGCAGTAATACTTTCGAGAGTTATGGGTTTCGCATTCTCAAGGCTGAGGCATATGCACTCTGAGGACTTCAAAAAGCGATCGTTTTAATGCTTCTCAGTTCTAGGCTAAGGGTAAATCTGTGAAGAGAAGCTCTCGGTAGACCACTAAAAGTTGTTTTACCGTTAATGGGACACACCGAATGGAACTCCGAACTGGTAGTTTTAGGGCGCCGAGTGAAAATCCCTTCGCACCCTTTACGTATCGAATGAAGGCAATAAAGGCAATATAACCCAGTGAATGTGAACAGGTCCTCGGGTGCATGTTTCACGATCGAGAACATATTCTATCCCTTTGGCGACTCCTAATCTTATAGTGGATTGGTTTGGATGAAGATGTAGACTGAATAGACAGCGGCTGACCTCGCGCAATTTCGTGCGGACACATTTAAGTAGGGGCACGAATCGTTAAGTGTTGTGCATAGTTTAATTTGTGCGAATCGATCCTCAGGTATGTTTTCGGACGACGATGGTCATCAGCAAATTTTGAGATCTTTTTCCTACCTTCCGACAAAATTGAGACCATGTGTCATAGCATCCGGTTACGAAATACAGCGAATACCGGAACGGAAGCAATTTGCTTTTCAGAGTGCTATGTACTAAAGTAGCGGAACCCCACATAAGAAATTCATCAAGAACGAGCATGAACGAACCATGAAGTTCATTCTCTTGGGGTCGACTAGACCACCTGATCCTCATAGCTGTTTTTCTTATCCTGCCTAAGGGAGAACTATGTATATACAGTGAACCGGTGAAAGTGTAGGGGGTCCATTTAGCGACCGAATCGTCCTGACTAATTGAAGGATCTGAGTTTGTGGAATAAAAAACTATGGGGTGGAGTACCTATAAATCAGCAGGTTAGCATTGAGGGCAGGTGATAATGCCTCTCTTTTCATTAACTGACAATTAAATAAATAACCACGGCGGGTCAAGAAAAAGTTGATGAGGTAGGTGCCTGACCCGAATCGATTCCACAGCCACCTTCCCTTGCATGCACGTAGTGACTAATGTTCGTTTGTGCTAACCTACTTTTTAGCTGTATCCAAGTTTGAACCGAACCAAGGTATGGAGGTAGTGTGACATCGACCAGAATTGCTCCAAACAGATCTCTAGAGAAACTGGTAGTCCAAGAAGGATTTTCAAGAGAACATTCGAAGTCGTGGTTGTTTCTCCATTTCGGTTCAACAAGAGTTCACTCTAAGAAAAAAATTCTCAAGATTTTAGCGGAATTTTCGAGAAAAGTGAACCGAACCACCAACATTCCTGAACTCACTCGCCGGTCCAACCCACCTTGCTAATGCAGTTTCGTACGGTTTCAGAAAAAAAANAAAAAAAACAAAGGACAGTACGGGTAGGAAATGAGTGAAATACTTAGTTCGCCAATTCTGAGCAGTAGACGAAATAATGGAACGTTTCGAGCAGAATAAAGTATAGTTGGGATAGTACCAAGTGATTCAGCTACCACAAGAACGGCTCAAGGAGCGATAATGGATCGGTCAATCTAGCCTTCCTTTTTTCCGGTCGGTTGCTGTCGGTCAGTGTCGATGTTGGCACTGAAGTCGCTTGGAAGGAAGAATGCACCCACTAGCACGTCGGTTGGCCCTTGCATGACTGTATGGGGTAGATATCATACCTATCAAAGCACCACAGCGATTCGACACATCCGAGAGCGGATTGATCAATGCTGGAAAACATTGTAGTTCTCATCATGCAGTAAATTATTAGGTCTGGTGGGGATTCTGATTCACGTTCCTGCGTTCTAAGGACCAGGCTGATTCAATTCACTGACGGGACAACCTGCAGACCATCCAACGACGCCGGCGAGCCTTCTCAAGAATGTCCACGAAATAGGCACCTCGGAAAATGTATCAGTCTCCCGGAAAAATGATACGGGAGGTGTCTGCACAATCTGAGAGCACTACGGCCTACAACTCGTTGATACACTGAGTGAGGTGGCTACTCAATGACGCAGTGATGGCTTTCAATGGAACCAATGGCCTTCCGGTTACAGTTATAGCGGATGTACTTGCTATGCAGGTATATTCAAAAGCATTAATGGGTGTAGCTCTTCAAAGTTCAGCTTTTCCAGGTCTACTATGCAACATTTTGCAGAATTCAATCAGCTGATTTAAACTATACACTTCCTAGGGAAAAAGTGACAG